TACACTGTTCTTAGCTAGGCAGATGATACTTTGTGAGTCGTAATTTAGCTTGAATGAGTCTTTTTTGAAACCTAACTCTCACATATTTATTTTAGCCATATACCTTCTTTTGTAGCCTCTGATAAGGCCATATATTCAGCTTTTGTAGTAGATAGAGCAACTACCTGTTGTAAACATGATCTCCAACTACCCGTATTGCCCCCAACTCTAAATACATATGCTGAAACTGATCTTTTTTTGTCTAAGTCTGTAGAGTAATCTGATTCTGAAAAATCTTCAATGTCAAATTTCTCCGTCTTTGTAAATGTTAGACAAATACTAGAAGCCCCTTTTAGATATCTTAAGATCTATTTTAGCGCTTTCAAATGATTGCTCTTGGGTTTGCCATATATCTGCTTACTAATCCCACAACGTAATCTAAATCTGGTCGAGATCCTACCATGTCATACATTATACTCTCTACTGCGTTTGCATAGGGAACCGTATTTATTCTTCTCTATATTTCTTTTTCTTCTGGTGTTAGACTTCTTAATTTGAACAGAGAGTTGCTCAGTGTAACGACTTCTTTACTCTCTACTATGTTTAAATTTCTTGGGACTTGTTTGATATATCTCTCATGAGATAGTTTTAGAATCACATTCTTCCTATCTCTCTTGATCCATACCTAGAATTCTTGACACTGGCCCGAGATATTTCATCTCAAACATGTTGTTTAAGCTCTTCTTCATAACCTTTATCTTCTCGATATCTTTAGATGCGACAAGCATATCATCAACATAGAGAGTAATAAGTAGATCATATCCTCCACAGTCGTTCCTTTGGTGTACACACAGAGATCCTTAGTACAATGATTAAACCCATGTGACTTCATGAATTCATTAAACTTCATGAGAATTCATTAAACTTCTGATTCCATTGTCTTTCAGACTGTTTAAATCCGTATAGGGATTTCTTAAGAAGACACACCCTTCCTTCTTTTCCATTTTTTATGAACTCCTAAGGCTGTTCCATATAAATGACTTCATCCATAACACCATGTAAGAAAGACGTTTTAATATCTAGTTTCTCCAATTCCAAATCATAATTAACCACAATAGATAGCTGAGCTTTATTGACACATGTTTAACCACATGTGCAAATACCTCATTATAGTCTATTCCTTCAACTTTGTATAGCCTTTAGCTACTAGGCATGATTTAAATCTTGGGTCTTCTATTCATGGGATTCCTCTTTATATTTGTAGATCCATCTGCAGCCTAGTATTCGTTTCTTTTCTGGTCTTGGAACTAGCTCGAATGTATCATTCTTATCTAAAGAAACCTTTTCCACTACCATAGCTCTTTTCCAATTCTTTCAGTCTTTACTTCGTTTACCGTCTGTCATAGTTCTAGGTTCATCCAACTCAATACTTGCCACGCAAGATAGCGCATAAGCAATGGCTGAATCCCCATCTTCATACATGTAAGGTGGTCTGATCACCCTTCGTTCTCTGTCTGTAGCCAATACAAGATCATCCAGATTTTCACCGTCTACTTTCTCAGTGCCATCTTCCTCGAATTCAGTTTTTCCTCCGGAATCACTTGAAGTATTTGAGCTTTCTAATTCTGAACCTGATCCACCCTGGCCAGTAAAGTCTGTGTTTTCAGAATCCGCTCCACCTTGACCATTGTTTTGTGCAGAAGTGCCGTGAGATGATGGTCCCTGTATTAACTCAGTTCTGAAAGCCACCTTCTTAGTTTTCTTAGGCTTTATCACTTCCTGTTTTGGTTCATGATAAATTGTATCCTCATCAAATACAACATTTCTGTTGTTAGAGCACTTGCCATCTTCGGTATCCATACTCTATACCCTTTTACTCCTTCAGGATGTCCTAAGAAAACTCCTTTAATTGCTTTAAGGCTCATCTTGTCATGTGTTATTTGGACATATGCCACACATCCGCACCTTCTTAAGTGACTGTAATAACCTTAGAACCTGTCCATAACTCCTCAGGAATCATAAACTTTAGGGAAGCGTTAGGTGACCTGCTAACATACATCTTATCTTATCTGGTATAGTACGATTCATTCTCTTTGCCACTCTGTTCTGTTGAGAAGTGTAGGTACACGTCTTGTGTCTTTTTATTCTTGAAACACTAAACAGATTATCCATCTTAATATTATAGAACTCCAGACCGTTAATTTTTCGAAGATATTTCAGCTTTTTCTTGGTGATTTTTGAACTAAGGATTTCCATTCTGATTTTTTTTCGAAAACTTCATCTTTACTTCTCAGAAATCTGATTTTTCTAAAGTAGACATCAATGAATGTCAGAAAGTACATGAAGCCTGATAAACTTGGCTCATTAGAAACCGAACCCCAAAGATCACTATGTATGTATTCCAATTTCTCCTTAGATGTGTGCCTTCCCTTTGAAAACCTTTGTTTGTGAGCTTTACCAAAGACACATTTTTCACAAAAATCCAAAGTGTGCTCCTCTTTAGAATTTAGATAACCTCCTCTAACCAAGAGATTCATGTTCTTCAAGCTCATGTGACCCAATCTGGAATGCCATCTGTTTGTAAAATTTGTTTCAGTACTTACCACTGCAACTTCACCTTTAACAACAGATCCTTGTAGATCGTAGACTCCATCTTGATATTTTCCAGAAAGTACATTTTTCCCTTCTCAATAGAACATGATAGTGAGGTTTTCACCTTCATATGTGCAGCCATTATTTTCCAATTGACCATAGGAAGTTAGATTTCTGCCCATAGAAAGCATATATCTCACATCACTTAGAATAGCTAGAACTCCTTCAGAATTAATTATCTTGATCTTTTCAATACCCTTTACTTCACATTGGGTATTATTACCCATCAAGAAATTTCCCCCAGTTATCTCTTTGAAGTCAAATAGACTTCTCTTTCAGGCGTTATATGAGAGGTACAACCCGAGTCCATAACACATTCCCTCATAGGATCTTGAATGCTTGCTGTTAGAATCATTGGTTGCTCTTTGTCCTGAGCTACATTCGCCGCTTCATTTCCTTTCCAGTTCTTCTTTTCTGGGAAATCTCGCTTGTAATGACTCTCTTTACCACATGTCAAACATTCTCTGGGTTTACATGGTCCTTTAGGTCTTGATTTTGACTTGTTCTCTTTTCTTTTGGATCTTCCTTTCCATTGACTGGGAGATTTTTTTTTGGGTCTGCCACTTCCAACTACTAATCCTTCAGCATTTGATCTTGCCTTACCGATAAGTCCAGCTTCTTTCAACTGTACTTCCTTGGTGTATGCTGATGTGGTTACTTCGTGTAGAGTTAGGGTCTCCTTTCCATTCCCATACTTAAGAGTATGTACTAGAGTATTAAATTGTTTTGGAAGGCTTGACAGAACCTGTATGACCTGATCTTCATCGCTAACAGTGATGTTTAGACTTTCCAAATCCTCTACTAGTCTTAAAAAACACATATTTTCTTTTATGCTTTGGTGCTCTTCCATTCGGAAACTAGCAAATCTATGATTTAAGTAGATTATGTTTGGTAAAGTCTTGCTTTGATAATCTTTCTCTAGTGTCTTCCAAACGCCTAAAGCAGTGGTGTGCTTCATCACCTTCGGCAAGACCAAGTTACTGAGACTAGCACCTATCATTTTCTTGGCCCTTTTGTCCATCTCCTTCTTTGTTAGACCCTGGTGTAGTACCAGGTTTAGACTCGGAGCCTTCATCTACTTCTTTTCTAGTCAAGGAGCTTGTTTCCTACTCATTGAGTACACTGTCAAGACCTGAGTTTTCAAGTTGCATAAGCATCTTGAATTACCACATACCAAAGTCTCCTTTCCCATCAAAATTCTCTACCTCAATTTTCACCTGGGTATTTTGCATGATTCTTAACTTGACCGAGAGAATAACTCACACCTTGAGAACGTTTGATCTAAAGACCAATAAGCAGATAAGAAACTAGAACCGTTCCTTTTTGCTAAACCTGGTGCTCTGATACCACTTGTAAGGTTTATTAGCGGATAGTTTAACTTAAACCTTCTACTTGTTATCTAGATTTTGGTTAGCTAAGCTTCTTGATCAATTAACCTTAATGTTAACTTGTGTATGTGTTTGTTTTGCGAGAAACGACACAAAGCTCTGGTTACCCAGTTCCCGTGTGGTACGTGTGGAGGAAGAGCTACGCTTCCAATTCACTATCTCAAGTACAAAGAGAGTAATACAAGAGATGAGAGCTCTAACCACTTCTACACCAAAGTTAAGAGTTAAGAACTATGATCCACACTGAAAAAATTCTTCTTCCTTGATTGCTTTCTTCTCAGGTACGTTCAAACAATTTTTTACCAAAGATGATGTGCTTGTAATCTGAATTCCACAATCTGCTTCTGTTGCTTTTCCCGTAACCTTGAAGTAAATAGGTTACTTCCTTATATATGTAGGTAGTGCGATGAATGCCTTAAGCAAGTGGGCTTTACACTTGAAGACTTCGAATCCAGCCCAAACCACAACAGATTTGTATGTGGGCTTGATAGTCTTCTGGCTCATCAACGAGAACCGAGACAACATATCCGACATTTCCCACCAAAAAAATCATCCCATAATGGAGTTACCTTCTCCAAAAACCTCATAAGGAATCTCGACAAAATGAACTCCATCCTAAGTTGAAATATCCACCTCGTACTTCTTCAAAGATTATTTATCATGAGAAACAGAAATCCGTTTTTATTAGTAACATGATTCACCGGACCAGTATCACCAGTGGTCGGAGCCTCCAATTTCGCCATAGCCATCACTGGAGGACTCCGACGACAACAGTGTGAAACCTTGCTGTGAACGCAAGCAAAACCCCTTAATCGCCAAAAGTCATCTTCAGACCAAAACGCAGCATAATTTGATGCCACTTCTTTGTATCCAATATTATCGAGAGTTGGATGTCGTAGAATTTAAAGATCTAATGGCTCACAGATGTTCAATAAGGGTGTCGGAAATTGAAATGATAAAAGCAGATTTGATATTTTTTGTCTAACCAACACCATAATCTAAAAAAAAAAAAAAAAAAAAAAAAAAAAAAAAAAAATTT